TGGAAGAGGGAAGAAGATGGACTTGGCCGACACTGAATGCTACACATGCGGAAAGATGGGGCATATGGCTAGGACATGCCCTAACGAGATCCAAGCGAGGCGAGAGGAGCGACGGTGGGACACGCCACACCGAGGACGAGGCCGAGGCAGAGGGCTGGGCCGTGATCAGGTGAAGAAGGCAGACGGAGACACGGAGGATGATACCGGTGCATCATTCTTTTTCAAAATGAGTGACTGTCAAAATCAAGTAGGAAATAAGAGAGGTCTTATGGTCGACTGTGGTGCCACGACGCACATGATTAATGACCCGGCAAAGTTTAAGACAATCGATAAGAGCTTTAGACCCGAGGACCATGTGATAGAGCTGGCAGATGGAACGAAAACGACCGGGATGGCGAAGATGAGGGGAGAAGCCGAAGTTGTTCTGCTCGACAGCGAGGGACGGCAAGTGAAAACGAGGCTCAAACGAGCGCTTTACATCCCATCTTTTCCACAGGACATTTTCTCCGTGAAAGCAGCGACAGCCAGTGGAGCTGAGGTCCGCTTCAAGGACGGTGATGATTGGCTGATTCATCAAAATGGTACAAAGTTTAAAATGGATGTGTATGGTAGGCTATATTACCTTAGCACAGTAGAGGATGAAAATACTGATGTTTGTAATGGTTGTCATGACATCCAGACATGGCATAGAATACTTGGTCATTGTAATTTTGAGGATGTGTCTAAACTAGAGAAAGTGGTTAAAGGTATGTCGATCAAAGGGAAACATGACATGTCTAACCATAACTGTGAAATATGTACGCAGGGAAAATGTACTCAAAGCAGAAACAGGCAGGCAGATGTAAAAGCTAAGACAGTACTGGAGCTAGTACATACAGACCTATGCGGTCCAATAGAACCAGCAGATAAAGACGGGTACAGATATGCAATAGCATTTACTGATGATTATAGTGGGATGATTTTTCCCTACTTTATCAAAGCAAAGAGTGATACAGCAAAAGCTACTGAGAAATTCATAGCGGATACTGCTCCATATGGATACATTAAGTGCATAAGATCTGACAACGGTACTGAATTCACCGGGCATGAGTTTCAAACTTTACTTAGGACGAAAGGGATAAGGCACGAGACAAGTGCACCATACTCACCTCACCAGAACGGTACTGCAGAGAGAGGTTGGAGGACCTTATTTGAGATGTCACGATGCATGCTATTAGAGAGTAACCTCCCAAAGCAGTTATGGACATATGCTGTACAAACAGCAGCACAGATACGTAACAGGTGTTACTGTAAGCGTCTAGAGCAGACACCATACCGTGTTTTTACTGGCAAAACACCCAACTTGTCCAACATGAAAATATTTGGCTCTGAATGCTACGGGTATAAGCAGGATAAGAAGAAGCTAGATTCTAGATGTGCAAAGGGTATTTTTGTAGGATACGACAAATATAGCCCAGCATTCCAAGTATTTTATCCTGAGACAGGGAAAGTCCTGAAACATAGGCTGGTAAAATGTATCACAAAGAGTAGCGCAGATAGTCAGACTCAGACAAATCGTAATATGGATGATGACACTTATGGAGAAATTATTCCCACAACACCAGCAGGGACAAAAATGGTCAACCAGAATCAGAGAGAGCATAATGTGGGTGTACAGTCCGATAGTGAGGAGAATATTGAGGCTAGTCAGATCCAGACAGATGGTACTCAAAGAGAACAGGGAGAGAGTGCACGACGCTATCCCACTAGACAAAGAAACGCTCCAGAATATTTATTGGAGTATCAGTGTAAGGCTGATTGTAATGATGAAGGTGAAAATGTAGATTATTTCTACAGAGTTGCTTGTGACGTACCCAAAACATACATGCAGGCTGTAGGCTCTAAGAAATCAAAAATGTGGGCTGATGCAATGAAAGAGGAGATTAACTCTTTAACAGAGAATGAGACCTTCAGTCTGACCACACTGCCAAAAGGCAAGCAAGCAGTGGGAGGTCGTTGGGTATATGCAGTAAAGGAAAGCCCAGATGGATCTGAGATTTTTAAAGCCAGATATGTAGCTAAAGGCTATAGTCAAGTAGAGGGAATTGATTACAAGGAAACTTTTTCACCGACAGCAAATATGACTTCTGTACGTACATTGATGCAGGTGGCTATACAGGATGATCTTATCCTACACCAAATGGATGTGAAGACAGCTTATCTCCATGCACCAATAGACTGCGAGTTATATATGGAACAGCCCGAAGGTTTTGAGGCAAAATCTAAAACAGGGGAACACTTAGTGTGCAAACTCAACAAGTCATTGTATGGTTTAAAGCAATCCGGGCGGAACTGGAACAAGTTACTGCATGATCATCTTACAGAGAATGGGTTTGTGCAAAATGATGCTGATCATTGTGTCTACAGAAAAGAGTCTGAGAACGAAAGAGTTATTCTGTTGATATGGGTAGATGACCTACTCATAGCAGCCAATAACAACGGCTCACTCAGTGATGTCAAAGAGATGTTGAAGAGGAAGTTTAAAATGAAAGATTTGGGTGAACTTAAACACTTCCTAGGTATTGACTTTACACAGAGTGAGGGGGAGATCAAAATGAGCCAAAAGAGACACATAGCAAAGATGCTAGAGAGGTTTGGCATGTCAGAGTGCAAACCAAGGTCAACTCCATGCGAGCAAAAGTTACATTTTGACACTGAGGGTGAAGTTATCGATTCAACAGGATACAGAGAGATAGTAGGTAGCTTGATATATATTATGACATGTACTAGACCTGATCTGAGCTGGATTGTGAGTAAACTATCACAACACTTAGCAGAACCAAAACAACAACATTGGGCTGCAGCAAAACAACTGTTGAGGTATCTAAAGGGTACTATAGACCAAGAGCTACATTACAAGAAAAGTGAGGAAAGCCTAAAGCTTGAGGGATACAGTGATGCTGATTGGGCAGCCGATCAAAATGATAGGAGAAGCACAACTGGATATTGTTTCAGCTTAACTGAAAATGGTCCAGTTATATCCTGGAAAAGTAGGAAGCAGCCAACAGTGGCGCTATCGACCTGTGAGGCCGAGTACATGGCATTAGCGGCTACTACTCAAGAGAGCATGTACCTTGTACAGCTATTAAAAGGGGTAGACCTTAATAGCCCACATGTACCAGTGAAGATATATGAGGACAACCAGGGAGCAATAGCTCTATCCAAAAACCCTGTATCCAGACAGAGAAGCAAGCATGTAGACATCAAATACCATTTTGTACGATCTGCACATGCTGAGGGGAAGATATCTATTACTATTGTCCTACTATGGTAGCTGATGTCCTAACCAAGCCGTTGACAAAGGCAACATTTGACAAATTCAAAGGGTATTTGTTTGGAGAGTAATGTGAATTGCAGGTGTAAAAATTGAACACTGCTAGAGAAGTTTTTTTTGTTTATTTGGATTCTGTGTACCACTGTAGAGAGTTATTAACATGTCTTTGAGTGGGAGTGTTAAGCATATTTGTATATGAACAAAGTCATGTTTCAGTTCATGTGTATGACATCATCAGAATGTGCCTGAGTGAAAGAAACGTGGTCATGCTAATGAGCATGCGCAGATTCAATAAACGGCCCGTACTCCAGGCCAAACTCTGAGCGATGTGGTCGTGTGTGTTTTCTGTCCGTAGCATACTTACAAACTACTTTGGTTGACTGCAAACGTGGAGACTTCTGCTGAATATAATGTCTCACGCAACAATTACCCTGAACGTATAATTCAACTGAAAAAACAATTCAAAAATAAATAAAATGATACATTTAAATAAATAATATCAAAATAATAAATACCAATAAACAAGATCAACAAATATTTTGGAGCGCACTTCCCCAAGCTACTAAACATATATAAATATGATAAATACAAATAAATGAGACCAAAATTAATTAGATCAAATATGTTGCAGTGCACTGTCACAACCTAGCAAAGCAAAATAATAGTTTTTTTTCGATTATGTTGTTTTCGTAATTGTGGCAGGCCAAAATCGTAATTGCGATTAAAATACGATTAATTGCACAGCCCTACTCCATTCCCTCTCTGCCCCCTTTAGCCTTTAGTTTTTCTCTTTCCGCTTTATAGATGTCACAATGTAACAAGATATGTTCTACATCTTCTTTTACTCCACAGTTCCCACACTTGTCACTGTCACTTTTCCCCATGATATACAGAGTACCATTCAAAGCCGTGTGATTTATTCTGAGTCTAGCGATCGTGATTTCCTCCCTTCTGTTTCTTTCTTTATAAATATGAATTGTAATTGTCTTTTGTACTTTGTAGGAGCGATCTCTGGAAGGCGATAGTCGAGGAACCACCACACGCCTATGAGAGGCCGTCTAGCTCACAACTCATACTTGGTCTTACAAACAATATCAGAATATCTCATGTACACCACCAGACTCTTTCACACACAGTATCATACCGTCTTTAACGTACTGTCATTCCTTCCTTCATTTACTATCATACTATCATACATAAATAACTATTCTCTCTCACACACAAAAACAAATCTCTTAAACGCACCATCATACTCTCGTACACACACCACTATTGTCTTTCACATACAACTATAATCTAATAGAACATTATAATAGTGTATGTGAAAGAGGATAGTAGTATGTGTGTAATCGGTAAACAATGTATGTAAGACAGAATAATAACCTATGTAAGAGGGAATAGTATGTCATGTTAATAACAATAGTTGTCTATGTAAAACAGAATAGCAGTGAATGAAAGGCCGAATAATAGCTTATATAAGAGGTAATAATAGTTCATGTGAATGACTATATAGGTATGTGTATAAACAGAATGATAGGGTGTGTGCATAAGAATAGTTATGTGTGTGAGAGAGTATGATTGAAAAGGAAGTGAGTATGATTGAAAAGGAAGTTGGACTAAATTCTCAGTTCCTGATTGGCTCTACGTTTTTTGTTTGACGGACACCGCCCACCCCCACATAGCGCCATTGTGAGATGAGAAAATGGTGGAAAGGGAGCGACTTAATGAAGCCATAGGCCTCTTAACTAATATTTTAGATAGGCCTTCTCCAAATGTTGTCACATCGCTGTCAGGAATAATGGATCAAAGGCGACAGTCGACGTCGTCCACAGTAGGCAATTCTAGTGTGAGCGTTGACGAGGAATTGCAGCGGGCCTTCAGACGTGGATCAGGTGCATCAGGGAGTGGCGGTGGAGCCTCATTAGGCGCCAACCTGAACCAAGTGCTGCAACCCCGATATCAAACTCAGCAGTATTTTGGGGGATGGACTTCAAAGTCAAGGAAGAGGTACGTTTATTTTTTAAATGTCAACCGTGGTCATTTTAATATGTATGTTGTTGATTGAAGCTGTTTCTTACTGCTTGAAGCTAACGCTTTATTAACCTACTATAGCGGGGCAGTCAAATGTTAGAAACGAGACTAATCACAGGGTTCCCGCGGGGTCTTAAAAAGCCTTACATTTAATAATCAGAATTTAAGCCCTTAAATATGATTTTAAAAATCAAGAAAGGTCTTCAATATGATTTAATAGGTCTTTAAACGGATTTGGAAGGTACTTCTGTGTTGCAGTTCCCCCCCCAAATTATTTATATGGAAATAAATCAACATGGAACCAATAACTTGCTGCAATAACTTTGCATCCCCTGGCCCCTTATTGGAGAACACCCAGCTAGTAACTAGCAACCAAGCGTTAGCTAGCGTCAGTTCAGGGGCCTCATTTATAAAGGGATATACGCTCAAAAAATGGCGTACGCCAGTTTCTACGCAATGTTTGCGATTTATAAAATACTAACTTGATGGGAAAATGTGCGGTCCTCCACGCAAACTGTAACCCATGCGTACGCACTAAGCACAACAACGGGAGAGACGAGAAACTGCGACACCGTTGGCAGAAGGAAGAATGGAGAGAAATATGTGGAAATAAATAAAATGTTACCTCTCATTTATCATATGAAGAATTCATTTTCAAACATTGATTAAAGCCAATCTTAAAATGATTAAACAAACGCCTGTTTGAGACTCCTCAGTGCACACAAAAACATAACTTGGGGAAATAAATAAATACGGATATGTTATTTAAAACCACCTCGAATATGTTGTGTTAATGTTATGAAATGTTTTCTCATAAATGATGCGGTAAGCAGGAGGACAGAATAACGTCTAAACTGACGCCGTTTTGCATTTCTATAGGTTGTAGATACGAGCATGGTTTTATATACTATCACGTTTAATCGTGTTTTATGCCGTTTGCCAAGACTTGATAAGTCGCTCGTAAAACACAGGAGGTATGGAAACTAAGAACACCATATGCGGTAAATTGTACAGCTAATATAACACAACACATTAGTTGTATTTCCTTTAACTGGTGGATTATGGATATATAGTTGCTGATCGACAGCTGGAACACAAACCACCAAATACAACAAAATAATTCAGATCCAGTCGTCATGACTCCACTCCGGAGGGATTCCCCGATCATTTCTTACAGTTTCTCATCAAGGGGGTGTCTCCTGTCCCCGGGACAAACACACTGCCTGAGGAAGGTTATGTGTATTTTTTTTGTCATTAACTTTTTTCGGACCACTTATTTATTTATTTTGGTGACGATCCGACCTCCATGCTGCTACTCTGGTTCAAACTGCATCCACCAAACAATATGATTTATCTCGACCTCCCCAAAATAACCAAAATCTGACACGGTGTGAGATGTCTTTTTTAGCTGTTCGGTCGTCATTTCCTGCGATCTTCTTCATGCAGTCAGTCAAAAATGAATGAATGAATGGGCGTTTCTTTGACTATGTATAGGCAAATATGGGCGTTACGTGAAGCCTGCAAAAGCTGCGCCGCATTTCGAGTCGATTGTGATTTATAAAGGGAAACAGGCGTATGAAGTGCCGGTACGCACTTCCCTCACCGGTACGCAATGTTTTGTGAATCGGAAAATGTCGGAAAATTTCTGTACCTATTTTTTTGCTTTGTACTACGTAAGCAACCTTCTCACGTCAATCCTACGCAAGGCGTTATAAATGAGGCCCCAGAGCCGGAGGTATCTTCACATCTTTTTACGAACATTATGGGGAAGTGTAAGTTTAACCGAATATGGTTGGAGAAAGGGGCATTTAGTGCTTGGTTGAAACTAGTGAAGGGGAACGTGTTAGAAGCCCGCTGCACCTTATGCTAGTGTGTAAAGGCTTTTGGAATTTTTTTTGGTCACTTATATAGTTTAGTAAATAAGTTAAAAAGGATGCCATGATGTCAAAATACATTTTCCTCAGTAATCTTGGGTGTCTAACATAAATGGATATAGCACTGAGTTATAATCAGCCAGTCAAATGTGTTCAGAATTTAAACCACTATTTTTTAGCGAAGCAGATATGTCACACAGACCCTGTCTGCCTCAAAATCCCCTGCAAATGCTATAGGCTCATTGGTCGTAACTGTGCCATTCTAGCTCATCTCAAAGTCTGCAATTGGCTGCGGAATATTTACGTTACTTTTGTTATAATTTTTCAGCATTATGCTGCAATCTTTATGTAAATCCACGTTAGCAGTACAAGATGTACTTAATAAGAGGATTTCTGATATTAACAATTTAATTTCTTTTGATGTCTTCCATATCTTACACCAGTCTAAACTCCTGAAAGAAATAATTGGTCTGCCTTCTATATACATGATTTTAAACTATTACTAAACTATTTTTAATGAAAAGTACAGGTTTAGGTTCATTGTGTCACCAACAGAAAATATGTACTGCTCTGGTAAAACGGCAAGATATTTGTGGTGATATATCTGATTTCTTAGATTCATGCCTCTTTTGTAGTATTTGCTGTTGATAACAACTTAATCCGCAGTAAAGGCGCTTCTTCTGCCGTTGCAGTTGAGTCGAGCCAACCCTAAGCTGTTTGACTTGACCCATGCTTTGTGGTTCCTCCCCCGACTGCACTCGGCTACACTCGTCTACTTTCGATGCAAGCAGCAGCTCATCTCAAACTTTCTTTTTTGTTTTGTTTGTAGGTGTCAGAATGTTCTTCTTTGAATGACCTCTTACACACCACAGAACCACTCCAAGATTTTCTTGCAAATGCAGGGTGTCTCAGGCCTTTGAAATCCATAGAAGACAGAGACCTGTTGGTCCAAGACATTACCATGTTCCAGGTGGTCCACAGAGTTGCAGGAGCATTTGAAAGGTTTGTGCAACACTATTGCCTATAAACCAAATTAGTGATATAATTTAGGTGCTAACAAAAAAGCTAAAGCTGACTATATTTTAAACCTTTTTTTCAAACAAAGATACAAGAAGAAAAATGTTTGAACGTGTATATTTTTATTGAAAAGAGATTGTTCCTTATAAAATAGGGCTGTGTAAGAATAAAATAAACACAATCAAATCAGTTCATGTGGTCAGAAACATATTACTCCCTGTAAATGAAGCTCTGAAGTATGTCTTTTTGAACAAATTACATTAATTAATTTTCCCAATTGTTTGGCAAGTCTGAGCATATTAATTAAAGATTGTCACAAACATCAAACTTTGTTTTTGCCCTCTTAGATTTCATACTGATCTCTGATGGACATTTTTTATTTTCGAGCTATTTTTCTGCAATGGTGATGGAATATATCTCTTTAGTTCTTTACTATTAGCTAACACAATTGTTCACACAAATTCTTCTCTTGACCCTCATTTGTATACTGTAGATTTAAGGAGGGGCTAAAGGTCCTTGGCATTCTAGATGCAATTAAAATGCATCCAGAAAGTTTCCGGCCTTTGATGTGCCACGAACCATCGGCTCTCACTGCTGACGTAATGGACCATCTATTCCATATCCTGCTGTCTGAAGTGGGAAGCAACAAAATAAGGACAGAGGAAGTTGTGGTACCCTTTTGGAGGGATTACCTGCAGGATGTGGAAGGTTAATACTGCTGCTAGATGTAGTACTGTCTCCAATGATGTTGATCACTTAGTGTGCAAAGACTTGCTACAACATTACATACTAATGCCACATTGACATTACTCTTTTCATTGTCTGCCTTTTTCCTTAATCTTGCTTTGATTCTATTTCCTTTTTCTTCCTTTCTTTCTGTCTTAAAATATCCTCTTACTTGTCACATGTTTGGTTTCTTTGTCTTTCATTCTTTACTAATAGATTTTTTTCTGTATGGTATTTTGTACTTGCTGGTATGGTTTAAAATTGTAATTATTGTTTTGCTTGCTTTACTGTGTTTTAGATCAAGAGGGACCACCAAAGTTAGGGAAAATCCTTGCCTTTGCAACAAGTGCAAGTGTCATCCCTCCAGTTGGCTTCTCTCCTCAGCCATCAATTGATTTCCTGCATGGGCATCCCTCCAGCCCCAAACAGCGTCTGCCCATGGCGAACACTTGCATAAACTGCCTGAAGTTGCCGCTGCTTGAGACTTATGATGATTTTAAAGAGTGCATGGACTTTGCACTAGGTAACACACAGGGTTTTGGAAGAGAGTAATGGGAACATTATGTTCGTTCCATCTACCTCGTTCATGAGGTTTCAGCCAGGTTCTTGAAGCAATGTGAACAACAATTTTTGTTTTTAATTTTAGCGAAGTGCAAAAAAACATTATTCTTTAAAAGTCACTTTTATTATTTATCAACCATTGTACATTGCTTTATTAGTGCTGACTGAGTAACTGGGCACATCATTAAGGTATTATGGCCCAGTGGTGCAACAAATCACATAAATATATAACTTACTTTCAGTCTGTTTAAAAAAAAAACAGTGCTTGTTTTGTTACTTTAAGTGTGAACCATTTCCAGTGTTTACTGTTCACTAAGAACATTCACCAGAACTAAAAAAAATGATATGCCGTGATTACCATCATCACTCAAAGGGTCAAATAGTTCTTCAATTCTGTTCATCATGGTTTGATTAACATTAAAGTCATTTACCGGAACCACAATGTTGTTGTCTGTCACTAATGGTAAGGGGATGTGTTCATTGACTCCAACTGTCTCATTTCCTTCAAAAATGTCATCAATTGCCAAGTTTCCAGCTCCAGCACTGTTTAGAACTCCTCTCTGCCACAGTTGGAGAGGAGTTTGTCCACCCATTGTAGATAATCCATGGTGGTTCCACTGATTTTGGAATTCAGCAGCTGACCTTTGAACTCTTGGCAGGTAGATGTAGTGAAGACAAAACAAATGGAGGTCATTCGTAGAATCCAATATGCCCTCATTTTCCATGAAGGTAAAAAGGTTACTAAAGTGGAACGAGACAACTCTGTTAAGCTCTGCCCACAGCCGTTCTATCCTCTGGTTATGGACACTGCGTCCCGTAATGACACTGCCTCTGTTTAATCCCCTTCTCTCTAGCATATACCTGGCAACCCCTGTGTTTTCCATGCCATGGTCACAGCGTACTCTTGAGGGAAGGCCAAAGTTGTGTACACCAGTACAAAACAGTCCCAGAACACTTGATGCCCTGTTGTTATTGAGGCATTGCAAATAAATGATGGTGCGACTAAAGCCGTCAACACATCCATGAAACACCATCCGCCATCTCACCAGTTTATGGTTTCCGTCTATATGCCTGTAGGGAGAAAAAACTTCAATATTTACAAAAATAAAATTGCAACCATGATGAATATTGTTAATACAGAACCAGAATGTCCATCACATGGTTGCCCTTCTAGAAGTCAGGACTAGTCCTTCCAAATTACAACACCTTTTTTATTTCACAGCATGAACTCAGTTTGTGTTGTTTAAGACAAAAGCACATGATAAAGGACATCCTTTATTGACTATATAAGTATTTATATTTTTAACGTGAAATAAAGTTCCAGTGGAGGAAGACTAGCAAAGAATAAGTGTATTTTAAAGTTTTACTTGCATTTTAGGCCTACTTGCAATAATGTCATGTGTTACTTTCTACCACTAGCAATATCTACTATATTACTTGTGCATTCATGGCACATAACTTAATTTAATGTCATGCAATACTCACCATAATTGATTGGGAGTTTGAACATTGTAAACTCTTCGACGAATTGCACGGCGGCGGCGAAAAGCCCGTCCAACCGGGTCAAGTTGTTGCAGGCAGCGTCTCACACGCCAACGTTGTATTCTGATGTGCCGTGAACGAAGACTCCCTAAAACATACCTTTCCCCTGCATTAGGGGTAGTTTGAAGGATCTCGCGAACAGTGTTTGCCAGAACCTGAAGTAAGAAGATATGATTCTACACTGTATTGAAGTAAACATGTATTGTTTGAACTGTTGTATGTATAATCACTTAGAAAAAGAATGTTATTCTCACTTTTAAATTCACTGGCCCAGAGATTCTGTGTTTCATACACCAACATTGATCCTTATCACCACTAAGAGCCAGATGCTGTTTCTAAGTCGTTAAAGACATCGTAAAATAGGAAAAGATCCCCTGGGAAGGAATGTAGCAGTAAGATAAGGTAAAGATAAACATTGACTTTTGACCTAGTGTGGTTTGGGGTCTCACTCTGTTCGAAACTCTGATTGACCTCGGCCAGAAGCGAATCCAGCCAATCAGGACACTTGGGGGAGGTTAGCAGTCTAAACAGCTCCTCCCCAGGCGTTCTCTGGTTCGCTTGGGAGAAAAGTGGGAAGGAAGAATCGACAAATCTCCGCCCCAAAAGTAGATAGAAATACTGTTGTTTGTGTGTGTAAAAATGCTTTTTGGGTTTGGTGAGTTGGTTGACTCCGTTAATCTGTATCCGCATCGCACCATTGACAGAAGGCACTCTCTTCTCGTTCGATGGGTGGTTTGATCCCGATACATTTTGGCCGCATCGCATCACGAATCTAAAAAGTCCGGGGTACTCGAGTACTCTGTATAACTTGTATATGTGTTTGGTTTCCTACTAGAAGTAAACTCAGATAATTTGTTATAACTTTGATTCCGGTGTTTTCAATTCCTTTCTTAATTTAATAGAGATCCAGCCTCATCCAACGAACGGCGCGTAGCAGAGGTATTCTACTCCAACAAGTGGTGACTCCCGACGTTTGTGAGCTGATCTCTAGAAAGGAACACCGATAGCCGGGGGACAGAATCCAGTCCAGGGGGAGGACACAGAGATACTGGTGACAACTAAGACCAATGGCCATATACAAAAGGTGAGCAGACACCTGTTTTGATTATCAAAAATCTGTGATTGATTATACTAAAACTTTAGAGTTGTCAGCAGCGTTCTCAGTGTTTTTAGTCACGGTGGGAAATACAATACATATTCTAGTTAAATTAGATTATTAGTGCTTAGAGAAGGGTATTCAGTCCTGGATCTAGAGCAAAAATAGTGTTTGAGTGTGGCGGGTAGATCCCAGCCCTTCACTCACTAAATTAAAGACTACTTAGGTGTCAAAATAGGGTTAAATTCCCCGTAGGTCAATATAACATTGATGAATACGGTTACCTTACAGTGCTTCCATAAAGACTGTAAGGCTGTAAAAGAAGGGTTACATTCCCCGCGGGTCATGATCAGATTGATTAATGCGGTTACCTTTCGTGGTGCTTTAAATGTATAAAATGTCTGTAATTGTTATATGGTGGGTGATAGAGGAGGAGAGAGACGCGACCTCCAACTAATTATTTGGAACGACCGTATCTCATCACAAAACTGTTGTGGGGATAATCAGGCTCATTAAACGTGACGATAAAGAGATTTTGTTGACTGAGTTTTTAACTCTTGACCTGAAGTCGCAATCACCGTGAGGAGATTGTAGAAGCCTACTTCTGGAAGTCACGCTATCTGTTGAAATAAACATCGCACAATAAAAATTTGCCTGAATGTGATATGATAAGGTATGAGAAGCTCTGTGTGATTTTTTTAAAGTCAAATCTGTGTAATACTTGAGAGACAGAGAGCAACGAGAAGGTGGTATAATGTCTGAGACCCTACCTCCACCCTAAGGAGATAAGGGCTCACAAATGCCACTTATGAGTATCCCATCTAATACTCCTAAAGGAAAACACATTGTTAGACCTGATATTCAGGGATAAGGAATGTTGGAAATAGTAATGGAAGATATTGAAAAATCTTAAACTGGATCAACCAACCATGTTAGTGAACCCTGCTAATATGGAGCTAATACATGTAGAAAGACTAGCAGCAGCTCTGGCAAAGACAATAGGTCCTAGCATGCAAGCACAGAGCGGTAATATGATAAGGGCTATTAAACTGACCCTTTTTGGAAATGGGATTTTCCGTTACATAACGGAAGACTCGATTCAGGCCTTAAAGAACGCTTTACAAACAAGTCAGGGAGTGTTAAATGTGGAGCTATGTTGCTCAAAAGGAAGCTTACACTTTTGGGAAGGGATCTCCCCCTTTCTCTACTCCTGAGGTGCTGCAGAATCAAAGCAGCATACAGGGTCAAAGACAGGCGTGACCTCTGGAGAGGAAGAAAATCTAAATCTGAACAGACCACAGAGCCCATTAAAAGGTTTTATGGCCTCTACAATGAGAGGAAGATCTGGAGATTGTAAGGAACTCTCCCTAAATATCCACCCCCACACCATTGAGGGGAAGAGTGTTCCTTTCACCAATAAACAAATCATCTCTTAACCAAGTCAGATTTCAAAATAGCCATACCTCAAGTTGTTAAGAAAAGAGGGAGATTCAAAAGGTTATCAATAATTGCCCAGTATATTAAATAAATACAAACAGACACGTATCAATATAAGTCAGATAATGTAGACGAGGTCAATCATGGAAGAAGGCTGACATTTAATGCCTGATATATAAGTAATAGTAATAATAAATATATAGCTGATATTAAATAACTGATGTATAAGGCTCGATATTTCTGAAAATGGGAACACCGTTAACGGCGTTCTATTTCAGTAAAAGGGGGAAAAGGATGGGATATACATCAGACAATATGTATGTGAGATTATTACGTTTTTAGGAGAAATTTATCAATTTAAAATACTAGTTATGGTATTTTTTGTTTTGTTTTATTTGTTGCTTTTAAGAGAAATTGATACAGTTAAAATAATCTAGCTTTGGTTATTTTTTGTTTTGTTAGTTTGTTCCTTTTTTGTTTTATTTTTATTTTTGTTCTATTTTTTATTTTTATCTTGATTTTTGATTTTGATTTTTGATTTTTATTTTTTGAGATGATTTCAAAACCATATTTCCAGCAACTTAAGGGCTTGGTATGAGACTTCTCCACACAGGCTGCTGACGTCAAAAGGGGGACCCGAGAAACACAAGGCCAACACAGCAGATTACGTCTGGTTGGAGGGGACCTCCCATGCCGTTCGCCTAGATGGAAAGGGAGACAACTGGTACCACTGGAGCCAGTGTGCGGTCGGGAAAAACACCTGCGAGGACCCTGGACGACATCAGGACAGAGTTGGCCCTCGTCGCGAGGACCCTGGACGACATCAGAACAGATCTGGCTCTCGTCAAGGCAGTCGACCCAGGAGGCGCCATCAGCAGACCGGAGGAGGAGGATGAGGACATCTCTCCAACAGTCGACCCAGGAGGCGCCATCAGCGGGCCGGAGGAGGAGGATCAGGACATCTCTCCAGCATCGACCCGGAAGCCGCCATCAGCGGGCCGGGGGAGGACAATCAGGCCACATCTCTCTAGCAGGCACCCCAGAAGCCGCCGTCAGCGGGCTGGGGGGACGAAGACATGGCAAACCAAGACGGCACAGGGAACTCCATTTCCCGCTGAAACAGGTTGATATAGCCGGTGTGGAACTTTGTCTGAACAATCCATTTTTTTTTGAGGAACTTTCAACTTTATTTTTATATCCCATAATGTAAGGGATTTGTATTTTTTATTCTACAGAACTATGTGTTACCAAAAGAGGGAAAAGTATGATAATGTCTTTTCTGATTTCTGTGGCTACTTTTATTGCCATTTTGGTGACATGTGGTTGTTGTTGTGTGCCTTGTATCTGCTCATTGTGTGTTA